GGGGGGCTCTGAGTGGGTAGCGGAGCCCACTAGACAGAGTCGCCAACCCCCTCTAAGCCACTGGGGGCATTTGTAGTCCATGTGCGAGCTAGGTTGGGCCAGAGATAACCCACCCCAGCATCTACTTTTAACCCCCCGTGCTCTTAGCAACCTTAGCGGTAATCCAAGTCGGGGGCCGTATTTCAGCCAGATGCGCGGCCCGTCTCGAGCAGTCTTTCAAGTTCGATGATCCTTGACCTGGCCGTGTACCCGACGACGCAGGTCCCCCAGGCCAGGCTTTTCCATGCCGAGTGGTTTTCTGACGGCCCTGGGGCCGGGAAACGGCCCGCGGCCCGAAAACGTGAAGACCAGTCGTCGGGTTTTTCTATTTTTGGTTTTGCTTGCGACGCCCAGATCTGAGCGCCCCTGTCTCCCATCAGCCATCGATCCCTGGACCTGTCCTGGGATGCGTTCTGGCCAGAATTGCGGAGTCCAGCCGTCGCGACGGGAGGCCTCCCAGAGGCCTGGATGACGGGCAGTGAAACTGGTAGACTGGGCCACCCGAGGGAGCCGAAGATGATCGAGCTTCGCGCATCGCGGCTTGGGTTGGAGAGGCGCCCATCTCCAGGGCGGCGGCGGCGGCGTCGTGCATCGCGGGGCGCCACGAGCGAAATCAGGTGACCCAGGTCAAGTATCGATCCTCCAAGCTTTTTGCTCGTCGAGGGGTGTAGCTGTTCAGGCCTGCCCGCATACCCCCGACGACGTGTTTTTTTTCAACGTCGACGTCCTGAGATCTCGACCTATTCTCCAGGACCAGTTTCTCATATTGGGTCGTTTTTGCTTATCCTGTGGACTTACGAGGGCCCCCACTTGGATCAGTGCTAGGGTTGCTACTGGTATAGGGGTCTAAGTGGATGCTAAGGTGCGTTGTGTCTGCCCTAACCGAACTTATACGTGAATAGCAAATGCCCTAAGTGGCTTAAAAGGGGTTAAGCATCTCTGTTAAGTGGGCTCCGCCCACCTTGTCGGATCTTTGCCCCCCGTAAGCTGCTTAGGGCACTTGCAACCTACTTAGTACTTATAGGCCAACTTAGGCCAGATGTAGCCCACCTTGGCATCCACTTAGAGCCCCCCCTATCCCCTTAGCACCCCCAGCCGTGATCCAAGCGGAGGCCACACATAGCAAGAAACCTCCGTCAGTATCGTTTAACCAGTCCCTTTTCGCGTCTCCATCCCCATTCCGATCCCCACCATCCCACCACCCCAGTTGGGGATACGCCCCTCGAAACCCGAAGGGAGCAGCCTATATCCCCATCCAGGGGGGTTTAATCTTCCAGTGGGGCCCAGGCCACGCATGTGGGGATAGGAATCGGTTAAACGATGCTCACTCCCGTCGCATTTTTCTGCCACGCGAGGGGGTCCGGGGGCCCGCCCGCAGGGTGGCGAGCGCTGCGCGGCGCAGCGCCGAGCTGCGGGAGGCGGTGCTGTGCCTCAGCCGCGGCACCGCCGCCTCGGAGGTGCAGCTGCCGGCGCTGAGCCCCTCGCAGCTCGCGGCGCCCCGGCGGCTGCCCTGCGCCAGCGAGGCTGGCGTGGGCGCAGAAGACTTGAGCTGCCCAGACCGCCTCGCGTCGTGAATAGCAATATGCATTTTTTGTTTTTGCTTTTTGCGATGCTCAGCCCCTGCTGGGCCCTGGGACTGGTTCGAGGGCCAGAAGCTTGCGCGGGTCAGAAGGAAAGAGCTGAGCCTCGAGGAGCAAGACAAAGGCACAAACATAGACTTGCCCGGGGGCCGCGCTGAGTTCTTGGGTCGGCGCTGGAGTCCCAGCAGCCATGACCTGCCTTTGCTTTCGTGCCGCTTCAGTGGAGGCGGACGAGCAAGAGATTTCACTGGACGAGGTGCAGACCGTCCTCTACTACAACCAGTTCAGCCTGCCGCTGGTCATCACCACCCACCAAACCACCCCAACCCAACCCGAAGGCTCAGATTTACCCTCGATTTCCAGTGTGGGGGGGGGGGTCGGGAAACATCGAAAAAACACATGTGGAACCCTTGCCCCCCCCAACCCGAAATTCGGGTCTTCGGGTTGGGTTGGGGTGGTCTGGTAGGTAGTCAGGTCAACCCGAACGCCGCCCCCATTGAGGTGACGAACGACCCTGGCAGGTCGGGCCTGTGGCTCCTGCCCGCCTTCGTGAACCACAGCTGCCGGCCGAACGTGCAGCGGCTGATCGTGCGGGACTGCCTCTTCCTGCGGGCGGCCCGCGACATCGGAGAGGGGGAGGAGCTGCATCGCCCAAATATGGTTAATCTTGGAGAGGCCTGACGGCCGGTGCCGCCGAGCCTGATCGAAGGGGCTAGGAGGGGGACTGCCTTCTCCTGCGGGCGGCCCGCGACATCGGAGAGGGGGAGGAGCTGCATCACTAGGGGAACAAAAAGTGGCATAAACATAAAAACTCGGAGGTCCGCGCGGATTTCTCGGATCGGCGCTGGGGCCCCCCGGCGGCGCCTCTGGCGCCGCCCCTGGCGCGCTCCGCGCGCCAGGGAGGGGGGTCCAGCGCCGATCCGAGAAATCCGCGCAGACCTTCGAGTTTTTTTGTTTCTGTCACTTCCTGTTCCCCTAATCACCCAAATATGGTTGATATACTATGGGTGCGTCGGCAACCCAGGGACGACGCGCGCGCTCGGAATTCTTCCAGTACGTGCTGGATGGTCGGCGCTTTCTGGTCATACCGCCTTGGTGCATCTTGACACCTACATCAGATGCTATAAACGAATACGCCTCCTCTCCCCCCACCAGGACCGTCCCACACCTCCGTGACACCTAGAGGCAACTCCCCGTAGCGCGCCCCCGGGCCTCTCAGGGAGGCCCCAAAGCGCCCCTGGACGGCCCAAGACGCCTCCAGGGAGCCCCCCAGAACGCGAAAGGACGGCCCAAGACGCTCCCTAAGCAGCCCAAGACAGACTGCCGACGGCTCTCCAGGCTCCCAGGAGGCCTCCAAGAGGCCTCAAGAGAGTTCCGAAGGGCGTCAGGGGAGCGCCTGAAGAGGCCAAACACGTTTTTTTCTTTCGAGCTCGGCCGAGAAAGGCCCCCAAGACCGCCTGAAGACCGCTATAGAGCCCCCAAGACGGCTCCAAGACGGGCCAAGAAGGCCCCTAGACGGCTCAAGAGCGCCCCGAGGCAGCCCAAGAGAGCCCCAAGATGGCCCGCAAAGCCGCCCAACAGGGGGAACGCAAATCGACAATCCCGGCTTTCCGCTCCAAGAGGCCTCCAGGAGGCCCCAAGAGCCCCCCAAAGAGCCTGAAGAGGCCCCCAAGAGCCCCGAAGAGGCCCAAAAGTGGCCCCAAGAGGCTTCAAAACAGCCCCCCAGCGGCCTCCAAACCGCCTCCCAAGAGCCCCCTGCACGCCTCCTAGGCCCCCCCCCGATTCCTGCGCATTACATGGACGGCTCCAAGACGGGCCAAGAAGGCCCCTAGACGGCTCAAGAGCGCCCCGAGGCAGCCCAAGAGAGCCCCAAGATGGCCCGCAAAGCCGCCCAACAGGGGGAACGCAAATCGACAATCCCGGCTTTCCGCTCCAAGAGGCCTCCAGGAGGCCCCAAGAGCCCCCCAAAGAGCCTGAAGAGGCCCCCAAGAGCCCCGAAGAGGCCCAAAAGTGGCCCCAAGAGGCTTCAAACCAGCCCCCCAGCGGCCTCCAAACCGCCTCCCAAGAGCCCCCTGCACGCCTCCTAGGCCCCCCCCCCCGATTCCTGCGCACTACATGTTAGGAGGCCCCACTTGAGGAACAAAAACGGAAATCCAGTGACTCTTTTTTTTGTTCCAGTTCATCCCGAGCCCCATCAAGACTTCGGGGTCACATTGCAAAGATATTCCGCGAATACTGTTGAACTCTCTGAGGCTGTCTTGGCACTCTCTTGGGTCGTCTTCGTGTCCTCTTGGCTGCCCGTGAAACCACCGTAAAAATCGAGATCCCATGAGTTCACCCGTCCAGCCTAGCTAGAACGTCAGCGCGCGCGCGCGCGCGCTAAGACAGAGCCCAAAGCGGACCTGCCCAAGCCTTTCGAGCGCTTTGCCTCAAGATGGCTCCAAGGTTCTCGCAAAGCCTCTCGAGGCGACCCCCAGATGCCTTCAGAGAGTTCTGGGAGGCTCCCAGGAGGCACCAAGAGCTTCCCAAGAGGCCCCGAAAGACTTCCAAAACGCTGCCAAAAGGCCCCCAGAGGCGTCCCAACAGTCCACTGCCTGTGTCAGGGAAACTTCAGACCCACGGCCCAGGCATAGCAGTTTGAAACAAGTGGATTCCAAGAATTCACTTTTTTCCAACGCACCCCCTGCTTATTTTTGCACAACAGACCATGATTAAGGCCCCCGTCACCACCCAAGAAAGATCCCAGGAAGCCTTCAATGGCCCCGAATCGTCGAACACTTAAAGGAAGTTGATGATTGTGTGGTTTCCGCATTTCCCCTTCTATACGCTTCCGAGGCTTGCGCAGGGACCCCAAGAAGGTCGTTAGATGCAGAAGGCACTTCAACAATTGATATTCCATGCATTAGCCTGTCGAGCCTATCTAGAACTTGAGCGCGCGCCAAGCGCGATCGTTCTAGAGTGTATATATATATATATAGATGTACCATAACATGTCTGTGCTATACGTTCGGTTTGGTCGTGCGCTTCCACGGGGGGCGCATAGTACTGGCACGTAAACCAGAGGAGCTGCTCGACTGCTACGTGGAGTCCCTGCAGCCGCTGAGCCGCCGCCGAGCGCAGCTGGAGACATACGGCATCGTGCCCTGCCTCTGCGAGCGGTGCGCGCTGGAGGCGGCAGTGCTGCCTGAGGAGCAGGTCCAGGCGGTCCTGCGGCAGGCCGCCGCCGCCAAGGAGGCGTCCGAGCCCGCGGAGGTGGCCGACAGGGCCGCGGAGGCGGCCCTGCAGGCGGAGGCGGTGCTGGCGCGCGCCCTGTGCGGAGCGCTGCAGGCCGGGGCGGTTCCGCAGGTGGCACCTCTGGTGCTGCCCGCGAGCCCCGTTGCCCTGGAGCGCATCGGGCCGCTGCGCGAGGGCTTCGAGCCGTTCGCTGACGCGGGCGAGGAGGAGTCCTTCCGGCGGCAGGAGGCGCTGCACGAGCTGCTGCTGGGGAGCATGGCCAACGTCATCCGCGCCCACGCCGTCAGCCTGCGGGGCCTCAACCGCCACGTGGACGCCGCTGCGGCCTGGTCCCGAGTGCTGGACGCGCTCGAGCAGGTCATACCATGCTCAGAGCTCGCAGCCATCGTCTCCAGCGAGGCCTTCAATGCCCGCCTGCTGGCCTTCCAGCTCGATCACCGGAATGCGGCCAGGGGTGCCTTCCGCAGGTGCCTGCTCTGTGGCCACCGGGCATACGGCGGGGGCGCGATGGCGTGGCGGGTCCTGAACGAGCAGACCTACGCCAAGTCGATCATCGAGGCGTCCGAGGGTGTCTGGGCCACGTTGCAAGCAGAGCTGGGGCTGAGCGAGGACACCTACGACCCCGCCGCGCTGGCCGTGCCCCGTCCGCAGTCCGACGGCCCAGGACCCAGTCGCGGGCAGGGCTTCGAGGACCTGCTGCGGCGCCGCGCCCGCGGGGAGCAGCCGCCGCCCCCGCGGCAGGGCGCCGCTGCGGCAGCCGCGGGCACCACGGCCGCGGCCGCGGGCGCGGCCGGCAGCGGCGGCGCCGCTCCCCGTGAGGCGGCCGAGGGCCCCGCGGAGGCTGCCGCCACAGCCGCCACACCCACAGACGGGGCCAGCGGCGGCGCCGCCGCTCGCCGCGAGGGCGCGGTCCAGGTCGCCGTGGAGGCGGCCCGTGGCGCCGCCGCGGGCGCGGCCGGCGGCGCTGCGCGGCGCGAGGGCGCCATGGAGGGCCCCGCGGAGGCGGCCGCCGCCGTCGCCGCCGCGGCCGCAGGCACGGCTGGCGGCGGCGCTGCGCGGTGCGAGGGCGTGGTCGAGGGCCCCGGAGAGGGGGAGCTGCAGGCGAGGGGCGGCCGGAAACGTGCCTGCCCTCCCCCCCCCCTCCCCGACGCCTGCAGGCAGAGGGGGGGGCGGCGCGTCCCTCCTCCTCCTCCTCCTCCTCCTCCTCCTCCTCGTCCTTGTCCTCGTCCTCCTCCTCCTCCTCCTTCTCCACCTCCTCCTCCTCCTCCTCCTCTTCTTCCTCGTCCTCCTCCTCCTGGATGGCTCGAAAGACTGCGAGGATCAGCGCTGGCCTTCACGTGCCGCCTGTCCCCCCCGGCAGCCTGCCGAGACGCTGGCGCACGTGCGCCGCGACCTCCCTCCCCGTCTGCCGCATTCTCGGCAGGCTCTTTGCCCACAAGTTCGGTGGGTGTTGGCCCAGAACCTGCCATGGTGGAAGACTCGTGAAGAAGAAGACTCGTGAAGAAGGCGCTCTCTCTCTCTCTCTCTCTCTTCGGTCTACGTCCTGCGCCCCGGCGCATCCGGCATGTCTGCGCGATCCCGGGGGTGCTTCGGCCGTCCCGCTGCTCTCGTTCTCCTCGCCCCTCGTCCGCCTGCGCCCCTGCGCCGTCGTCCGCCATGGATGCGCCCCGCTGTTTGCTTGAGTGCTTGTTGGACCCACCTTGCCGCCGACCAGCAATTTCGCTGTGCGTCCCCCGATCGCTCATTGAATCAGGCGTTTCCGTCGGTGCTCGGCGGTTTTCCGGCATCGGGGTGCTCGCCAACAGCTGCGCCTCGCCGAAAGCGTGCCGGCGTGTGCCCGGATAGTCCCGAGCGGCCGCCAGAGAGCCGAGCCATGATCCGAAGACCAGGGGGCAGCGTTAGGCTAGATGCTCGTTTTGGGGACTTTTCTGGGGCCTACCTGACCGATCTGTTCGACTCTGCTTCGTGTCTGGATCGACTCACATTCGGCTCAAATTCGATTCAAATTCGAGTCAATTCAACGGACGATCGGCGCAGCATCGATGGGAACGAGTGGTTCCAGAAAGGTCCCCAGAACGAACATCTAAGTCATCCACTGCTTACGCTCGCAAATCCTTGACGCCTACTCGCGTGGAACCGGATGGTGAACGTGCTCCTTCGGGGGGCTTCCATATCCAGCGTGGCTGCCTCGATGACAGCATGGGCACCGCTGGTCACCCGCGACACCCTCGCGCCGCTGAGTTGAAGGGGGCAGCCGCTATCGAGCGTCGCGACTTCCCATCGACGACCTAGGCCAGCCCTGTGTCCTTTAAGGTCTGCGCCCTTTGCTTGGAATGTGGATCATCCCCAAGCCCACGAGAATCCGATACTGACAGATCCCATGGCGGGTTCCCAAATAGGCACGCGCTATCTGTGCGTCTCACCCCTACCTCCTCCCAGCTTCCCCTTGCCCACGGAAGGAGGGAGGAGGCAGGAGGAAGGAAGGATGGGTGGGGAGCAGCCAGACACCCGCCGTTGTGCTTTTCCACAACGTGAGCCCCTGGAGGTCTTGACCCTTTGCCTGGGACTGTTTTGTCATCCTGAGTAGTGTTTGCCGTCCCGGGGCCAGGACACGGCTTCTGTAGGGCGGAATGAACAGGAAACGGGCCGTTGTGATTTCTGCGTCGGCTGGACCAGAATGGCGGAGGAGGAGGAGGAGGGTGCTAACGATACGCCCAGTTCTTCCAGGGCCTGTCACACAGGGCGAGCACCTCGGGTCTACGCCGAGGCACATGTTGCCGAGCCAATGTCCAGCCAAATGAGCGGAGTCAAGCACGGCGACGAGAGAACCCGAAAAGAGCCACCCTATGGCGGCAAGACGTTTCGAGCGAGCACCAGCCGTGGCGAGAGGGAGCAAGGAGCCCGAGAGTCGCGGCCGCGCCGACGCGCAAGGCAGCCTCAGAAGCCGTCAGAATCCTGCACTCCGATCTCCCTCGGCGACGCAGCGAGGATCACGGATGACCTGGTCCACCGCACGCACCGGTGGCGTCTGGGAAGCAGCGCGCACGATGGCGCCTCGAAAGGGCCACCAGCTCGACCGTGGTGATGCCAAAGACGGGCAGGCGCAAGGAGCCAACAGTCAGGAGCGAAAGAAGGACGTACACGTACATGAATCCATGCTGGTTTCGGGAGTACGCATTGCCCGAGTGTTCGTATCACGCGGCCAGTCTCGCGGATCGAGGGGCCGTCTTCATGTACATAGCTGGGCGCGTACGTCCTCTGTGGGCTCCCTGAACAGAACCCGCCTGTCCCTGACGCTTGCTCTTGCCCCTGCCCTTGCCCCCCTGGCGCGGCCCGGCACCTCGCCCTCCGCACTGTGGACCACCTCCGCGCCCTTGAAGTCCTCCAAACCTGTGTCGTCCGCCAGCCACAGCATTAGATTACCTCAGTATCGTTTATTCGACCCCCATCCCCATCCTCATCCCCTTCGAAAGCCGTACCACCTACCAAATTACCACCCCAGTTGGGGATACACCCCTCGAAACCCGAAGGGAACGGCCTATATCCCCATCTAGGGGGGTAAATCGGCCAGTGGGGCCCAGGCCACGCCGCTGGGGATGGGGATCGGTCAAACGATGCTCATTATCTTTTTCCGACTTCACCGCCGCGCTTTCACTACGAGGGCTGCGCTGCCAGCGAGTCGATCTCCCCTTTCTTGTCCGCAGTCGTGCCCGCCAGCAGCGAGCTCTTCGCCATCTGCGAGCCACTCTCCTCCTCCAGGGCCGCGGCGAGGTTCGCTTCCAATTCCGCCCTCTGCTTCTGCTGTTGCTGCAGCGTCTTGCTCGGAGCCCAGCTGCCGCACCACTTGCAGGTGCTGCGGAAGCCGAAGTTCGTGAACTTGCACTTCTTGCAGTGCGACTTATCCACGTAGTGCTTGACCTGGGCCCTGAGCGCAAGGACGTTGAGCCCCTGCGGCGAAGGCCTCCAAGGCACCCGCTCATCGCGCGCGTCCTTCAGCCCGTCCTCGGTGCCCTCCTCAATTCTGGCACCTGCAGGAGGGTCCTTCTTGTCCGCCGCCGGGCCCGTGAGCACCTTCCTCGGGCCCTCCACTGGGGCCGCGGCTGCCTCCTCCTGCTGGAGGTCAGGATCCACTGAGGCCCGTGGGGGCGCCTGGTTCACATCGGTCATCACCACCTCTGCCACGAAAGGCCAAGCTAGCTCGAGATCGCAGCCGAGGAGCTGACTCGAGCTCATCTTCGGGTGTGTGTTCTTGAGGTACTGCCCCCACGAGAGGTCGGACGACATACGCCTCTCCTCCTCCTCCCGCTCGAGCTCCATCCTGTTGTGCTGCCTGTCCGTCTCCGTGGGCACCTGGCGGCAACTCGGAGACGAACCCGATGTTGTAATCAGGTGGGGCTTCTGCTTGTGGTGCTTCGACATCGCCGGCGGGCCATTCGAAGTCTGGCTGATGCCACTGTTGCCCTTCAACTGGGCCGTCAGCGAGACCGTGTGCGACTTGGACACACGCCTTGGCGCCGGGATGAGGGGCTGCGCTGACGCCTCGTGGTGGGCCGAGGACTGGCCACCCAGGGTGTCCTCCTGCCTTATCTCCTGCGCCTCGCCCTGGCTGCCCATGGCGTCAGGACACTGAGGCCAGCTCCTATCCACTGCACGGGATCGCCGCGGTGGTCTGCGAGTTGGCGGGCGCTTGTATTTCTTGCGCGGCGGATCTATCAGGCTGCCAACAGCCTCCTTGGACATGTCCGCGCTCTGCTCGGCAGCCATCGTCAAGAGAATGACCGAGCCGCCGAAGGCCTCCCCTCAGCCTCGCAACCTCGTGTCCAGGTCGACACTGATGAGCGAGGCTGGCACGAAGATGGAGTTCATGCAGACACCTCGCCAGAAACCATGGCTCCGTGCCGCTGCGCCCGCTCGACGTGCGCGACGCGACGCCCGAGCAAGCTCTCGGGCCGAAAGGGGGAGGAGGAGCAGAAGCAGGAGGAGGAGGAGGAGGAGGAGGAAGAGGACCAGTGTAAACCCAAGAGTCATCAACGATGTTGTAATAAATCTTCCCTCCAAGCTCCCTCTTCATAGGCCCCTACAACGGGTCGTTTCCACAGGGGGAACTGCCTCGTTGGAAGACAACCGTTTGAAGACCATGCATCATGCCAAAACATTGTTCTCGGGATTCCAACGCCACAGATCAACTTAAATGTTGCGTCTTGACGATCCTGAACCGTGCCAGAACGCCATTCTTGGGACTTCAACTCCACGAATCAGTGTAACCTTTGTACCCTCATAATCCTAAATCCTTCCAACACATCATATCTGGTACGCTGATCGTGGGACTCCGTGAAGCTCTTGCACATAAAAAAATAACGAATGTACGCGGCGCTTAGGCGAGAGCACCATTTTGAAAAGAAGACGCCCTCAATCTGCGAATTTGTTGCAAAATTTGAAACGGAATGTACGCGGCGCTAAGGCGGAGCCACATTTTGAAAACCAGCCGCCCCCCAATCCGTGAAACTCTTGCACATTTTTGAAACGAATGTGCGCGGCGCTAAGGCGAGAGCGGCATGTTGAAAACCATCCGCCCTCCATCCGTGAAACTGTTGTTATGTTTTAAGTTTCAGGGCCATAAATGGTGCGGAAGTCTCAGGCAAAACGCCCGGCCCGCCCTAACAACTGGCCTCGGGGTGCGACAGGGAGAATTTATAAGGAGAAGGAACGGGGGAGGGGGATGATGATGATGATGATGATGATGATGATGATGGTGGTGGTGGTGGTGGTGGTGATGATGATGATGATGAGGAGGAGGAGGGGGATGGGGAGGGGTAGTAGTAGTAGTAGTCGTCGTCGTCGTCGTCGTCGTCGTCGTCGTCGTCGTCGTCGTCGTCGTCGTCGTCGTCGTCGTCGTCGCGTCGTTGTAGTCGTAGTCGTCGTAGTAGTAGTAGTCGTAGTCGTCGTAGTAGTAGTATAGTAGTAGTAGTAGTAGTAAGTAGTAGTAGTAGTATAGTAGTAGTAGTAGTAGTAGTAGTAGTAGTAGTAGTAGTAGTAGTAGTGTAGTGTAGGAGGAGGAGGAGGAGGAGGGGAGGAGGGGAGGAGGAGGAGGAGGAGGAGGAGGAGGAGGCCCCCCCGCCGCCGACAGAGCAGGGGGCTCGCCGCCCCCTTCCTCCCAGGTGACGCTCCTGCTCCCGGGCCTGTCCTCGGCAGCGCAGGCCTCGCTGGAGGTGTCTGGGCGCGAGCTCCGGGTGAGGACCGCCGCCGCCGCCACGACGTCCTCTCCGCCGCCGCCTTCATCCTCCTGGGGCCTCTTCAGGGGCCTCTTGAGTGCTCCAGGGACCTCTGGAGGCTTCTGGAGCCCCCGTAGAGGCCTCTGGAGACTTCCAGAGGCGGATGACGATTTCGGTCGTCGCTGTCGTCGTCATCGCCGCCGTCGTCGTCGTCGTCGTCGCCGCCGCTTTCTTCCTCTTCGTCCTCCTCCTTTGTGATCCCGTGATCCTGTGGCGCAGCTGTCCAGTTCCCGAGGGCGACGCAGCGCACTGGAAGGACAGGGAGAGAGAGAGAGAGAGAGAGAGAGGAAAAAACAAATCATAGGAAAGAAAAGAGAAGCAGCGGCAGCGGGGTCAGCGGTCCTGCTGCGGCTGCGCCGGCACCACCCAGTGCCGACCGAACATGGAACCGTCGGAGGGGTTGGTGCCGTTCTTTGATTGGGCCAGGCTTTGAGCAGCCCCCTTGCTGTGAAGGGCCTTGGGGCAGGTTCCCTGGGGGTACCACGGGCGGGAGGCCCCGAAGGACCCACATCTGGAGCACCAAACGATCCCACCAAGGCCAAGCCGCAGCTTGTGGGTGTTGTGTGCCGTCATCGCTATTTTCGGGAGGCCGCTGCATGGAGCCATACAGAGACCCGTTTTAGAGGCGGCTCCTCCTCCTGGATCCTCACTGGCCTCTGCTCGCTCCTGCCCGTGTCCTCTTTTCCTCCTATTCGTCTTCGTCGTCGTCGCCGTCGCCGTGTCCGTCGTCGTCGTCCCCGTCGTCGTCGTCGTCGTCATCGTCGCCGTCGATGCCACCCAGCTGCCGCGGCCGCCGTCGCTGCCGCCGCCGCCGTCGTCGCCGTCGTCGTCGTCGTCGCCGTCGTGTTCGTCGTCGTCGTCGTCGTCGTCGTCGTCGTCGTGGTCGTCATCGTCGTCGTCGTCGTCGTCATCGTCGTAGTCGTTGCCGCAGTTGTCGTCGTCGTCGTCGTCGTCGTCGTCGTCGTCGTCGTCGTCGTCGTGGTCGTGGTCGTCGTCGTCGTCGTCGTCGTCGTCGTCGTCGTCGTCGTGGTCGTCGTGGTCGTCGTTGTCGTTGTCGTCGTTGTCGTCGTCGTCGTCGTCGTCGTCGTCGTCGTCGTGGTCGTCGTCGTTGTCGTCCTCGTCGTCGTCGTCGTCGTCGTCGTCGTCGTCGTCGTCGTCGTCGTCGCCGCCCCTCGACTTTTTCGGAGGTTCTCGTCGGTCCCTGGAGGTCTTCCAGCCTCGGGGTGCTTTCCAGCAGCTGCGCCTCGCGGAGAGCCTCCCTGGGGGTGCCCAGATCGTCGCGACCGGTCGCTGGAGGCCCGAGTTGTGGCCCGCAAGCTCGGGCCTCTGGGTGGCCGTCTCCCCCTCCCCTCCCTTCTCCCTCGGTGTTGCTCCTCCCTATCGCTTGCCTTTTCCCCTCCTCCCTCTTTCCTCTTCCCTCTGCTGTCCTCCTCCCGCATCCCGCCTCCCACGCCGTCCTCCTCCGTTCTCTTTTTGCCTCCTCTCAATCCCTATCCCGCCGCCTTTTCCTCGACATCCAGTTGTGCTTGATATTCTCTTTCTCATGAATTCCAGCGTCTTTCACGTACTTATCTCTGTCCTCCTCCCTCCCTCTCCTCCTTCACTTCTTCATCTGCCATTTCCCGTTTCCCTTCTCCATCGTCTCTCCCTGCTCCTCCACCTCGTCGTGGCGGTCGTCGTCGTCGCTGTCGCCGTGGCCATTTTCGTCGTTATGGTCGTCGTCGTGGTCGTCGTGGTGGTCGTGGTGGTGGTAGTGGTGGTGGCGATGGTGGTTGTGGTGGTGGTGGTCGTCGTTATCGTCGACGGCGTCGCCGTCGTCGCCGCCGTCTGCGTCGTCTTTGTCGTCGCTGTTGCCGTCGAGCACCCCTGCGAGGAGCCTGCTGCCCGGAGTGGCCCACGCGCTGGACGTGCCGCTGCCGAGGGCGGTGGACCCAGACAGCGCCTCGGCGCGGTGGTCGCGGAGGGCGCGGCAGCTGACCGTGCGCCTTCGGGCGGCGGACGCGCCCTGAAGCAAAAGGAGGCCTCGGATCGGAGGAGGACAGGGTACCCATGCCGCTACCCTTCCCTCGTTTGCGCCCTCTTGGGGCCTCCTCGGAGGCCCTCGTCGCCACCGCTGGATTCGTCTCGAAACTTTTTGGTCGGAGCGCACCCCGGGAGAGGTCTCGCGACCAGCGGCATCGGCACCTTTCGGGATCCACATCGCAGACTCTCTCGGCCCCCCCCCCCTGGGGCATCCGAGTCTGGCGCGGCTGCTCTGGCTCGGCGGAGCGCAAGCCTCCTCCTGTCCGCAGCGCGCCGAGCGGCACGCCTGCGCCCATAGGCCCCCGGGGAGGCTCCCGGAGCATTCTGGGGGGCAGCCTGGCGGCCCTCCAGAGGCCCGCCGGCTCGGAGGCCCCCAGGGGCCTTCCGCAGAGGGCCCCAGAAGCGGGCCCTGGGGGCCTTCGGAGGCCCTGGTGCGCTGGCGTCGGCGGGGGACATCGTTCCTCCGTCCTTCCTCCCTCCCTCCATTTCTATTCCGTAGGGGTGTTTGGCCTCGTCGCACCACCGGACGTTAGGTCCAGGCGTTCCGCCGGAGATTCCTCGCCATCTCTTACCATGCAGCGTGAACCGTCGAGCAGTTGCGTGGATGGAGGGCGGGCTGTTTTTGAAGCGAGGCTTTCGCCGTAGCGCCGTGCACACTCGATTTACACACATCCAGCCGTTACAGGCATGGAGGGCGGGCCACTTCTCGAAAAGTGGCTCAGCGCCGCGCACATTCATTGCAACCGTTTCCAGCAGGTGCACGGATGGAGGGCGTTTCCTTTTCACTGTGGGCTTCTGCGCAGGTTCTATCAGGTGCTAGGACCAGAAATGTACACTTATGCAACAGTCACATGGGTGGAGGGTGGCTCCTTCTTCAGAAAAGGGGACTCGTTATACATTTCCGCTCAGTGCACATCCTCTCGCTAGGCTGCCTCCGCCACCCTGTGTAGCCGTGTTCGGGCATGGCTGCCGCGTCAAGCAGTATCTTCCCCTCTCCTTCCTGCCCCCCGCCGTGCCGTCGTGCCCCCTTTTTGACTTTGCTTCTTAGGGTTCTGCCCGTCACAATTTTTTTTCCTCCCCTCCCCTCTGGCGCTGTTCGGGGGTGGGGATATCAAGCGCCTCGGCCACCGCGAGGAAGAAACCTGTAGCATCGAGCACCGATGGGGGTGGAGGAGGCGAAGGAGGAGGGGTGAGCAGGGGTGAGGGAGAGGGATGCGGATGGATGAGGAGGGAGGGAGGGAGGGAGGGAGGAGGGCGGAGGGATGGAGGAGGAGGAGGAGGAGGAGGAGGAGGAGGAGGAGGAGGAGGAGGAGGAGGAGAGGAGGAGGGAGGGAGGAGGGAGGAGGGGAGGAGGAGGAGGGAGGAGGAGGAGGGAGGGGGGAGGAGGGAGGAGGGAGAGGGAGGGGGAGGAGGAGGGAGGAGGGAGGAGGGAGGAGGGAGGAGGGAGGAGCAGGGAGGAGGGAGGAGGGAGCAGGGAGGAGGGAGGAGGGAGGAGGAGGGAGCAGGGAGGAGGGAGCAGGGAGGAGGGAGGTTCCCGCCCGCGTCGGCGACCGGGCGGCGCCGCGTGCAGCGTCCTGTGGTCTCCCCCCGAGAGAGGACCCGCAGCAGCGCGACGGCCGGGCGTCGGCCGCGCGCGCCGACGACCACGTCGTTGCCACGAGTGGCGGCCCGTGAAAGAGGGGGAGGAGGAGGCGGAGGTGGCAGAGGTGATGCTGATGATGATGATGATGCTGATGATGATGATGATGATGATGATGATTTCGTTGTTGTGGTTGTTGTGGTTGTGGTTGTGGTTGTGGTTGTTGTTGTGGTTGTTGTTGTGGTTGTGGTGGTTGTTGTCGTTGCTGTTGCTG